CCGCTTTAACCCTCCGCCTCGTGAAATCTCAATGGACATCTGACTACGACCCTACAATTGAAGATTCCTATACCCTCACCCGACGCATCGATGGCCAAACATATCATCTCTCCATAACCGACACCGCAGGCCAAGAAGAATATCGCGGCATGTGGCAAAGTGCCAATGGAACTATGAGAAGTGATGCTTTCTTATTGGTATATGATATTACGCGACGGGAAAGTTTGGATGCGCTGGATTGGTTCGACGAATTAGTTACTATGGAGGGAGAAATTCGGGGCGAAGAATGGAGAAGAGCGCAGGCCGAATCTTCTTCTTCGAAATCTCGTTCAAAAACAAAGAAATTTCAGATCTCAAATGCAAAGTCAATACAAGGGGGAGGATTCGATTATGGATATACGCCTCCAATTAAAATCATTGCGGGAAATAAATGCGATCTGCAAGAATCGCGCGAGGTGACGGCTTCGCAGGGTTTGGAATGGGCTAGGGCAAGAAATTGTGGGTTTATGGAAACAAGCGCGAGGAGCATTGTTAATATCGAGGAAACTTTCGCGTTGATTGTTAGACGGGTTGTGGAGGGAAGGAAGAGGGCTTTGATGGATAGGGAAATGATGGATAGAGGGGAATTTGGGGATGAGATGTCGGGAGTGCGTATGGATGGGGCGGAAGGGGATGAAATGAATGGGGAAAGGGAGAAGTTGGGGACCAGGAGAGCGATGACGAAACCATTGACGCCGTTACCGCCGGGGACTCCAAATGAAGAATATGAAAAGAGAGGGAATAGAGATGGGAGAGGAATTAGCAAGCGAAAATTGAGGGAGATAGGAAGGAAGTTCGCCTGCTGGAGATAGTTCGATTTGATAGGTGGGATGAGGTGGTTGGAGATAATGGTGAATGAGAGCAAGTGGCTGGAAAAGAAGGAATAAGACGAGACGGACGACACAAGACGAGAACTTACGACATATATTAATGACATCACAACTTATGAGTAGTGATTTTGCTTAGTTGATTTACTGGATATCCATTTGTATTTTTATATTTGGGAGGGAAAGGGAAGGAAAGGGATAGGAATAGGGATAGCGTGGAGGGAAGGATACGCTTGGACGGGATGGATTCGGAATGGTTGAGTTTGTCAATTTAGGCAAGTAAAATGCCAATCAATGTCAAGGCTGGATGGGCTGAACGGAATGGGATGTAATAAAAATACATTACTGCATTGCTGTCTACTGTCTACTATCTACTGTCTGTTGCAAAAAAGAAAAGACATAAAGGAAAAGGACGAATAGCATATACCATATACCATAGGATAGCAAAGCATCTAGCGAGGAGCTGAGGAGCTTTCCATATTTTTCTCTAGCGATTAATGAAATTAAGTATAGGGTAAAGAATACTTGGATACTTTGAAGGATCTCGAATGAAGTGTATATGTACCTAGTACGTGCCCAGGTATGTACGAAACATGAGATGCGCGTGGAAATGCTAGTAACTAGGTAAGGACAGGTCAACTTACTCGCGATATTTCTAGTTTTATCATCTATTCATTGCGCGTGCTATTATTAGGAAGGGGAGAATGAATGAAAGGATCCAGCACGCTGCTTGAGATGTGAGGAATTGAATATGAGTATATACCGACTATTTGTGATTTTAGATATACTACAGCTTCAGGTGGAGAGAATACGTGTAGTATGGATGAATTGCGAGAGGAGACCCTACAAACCCTTAGATACCCCTCAATTAAACTCTAAATTCTTTGGAATCGAATGGAATAATTGGGTTGCTGAAGGTTTTCTTCAGTGGTCAATTCCGGTCTGTTTCTTTCTCCTACGACTAGGCGGGGTGAGGGAAGTAGATGCGACGGTTTGAACGAGGTAGGGAATGAAGTAAAATGAATAGAAGGAATAACAGGAATTAAATAAACCCCTCCCCCCAATTAGATCTCTTTCTGTTGTAACTTGTCATAAATCATTGTATGTTGTATCTTATGCCCTCCCTATTTCCATGTTCTCGCGCACTTTTACCATCCGCTTAAATCGATGATGGTGAGATTCCTCCCCATCCTGTTCCTATCTCCAGTAGGTATCTAGAAGATGTGATATCAATCCCCTCTAACTCCTCGTCTCAACCTTATTGTCCAGCTTTTCTACCCAAGTCCTCCACTCATTATATTCCTTCCAACTGACACTCTCTTTTCTTCCCTGATACCTAACCACATTCAACTGGCTCACCTCCCTCCACTTCTCCCTCCTCCCTCCCCAACCCGCCTTCCTCATCGCACTAACAACCGTCTCTTCCTTTCCCCACTCCTGCTCCACCGCTACATCAGGTAAATAGCATGCTCCAAACCTCTTATTCTTATGATAAAAACTAATCCTAATCCCATGAACCCCAATTTCCCAATCCAGCGGATGAGCACACTCTTCGAAATCCGTAAGTAAAGTGACGGCAACCTCGAGAGTTGGGAGTTCCCGCAGCGTAATGGGATCGAAGCGGGAATCGTGCAGAGCGGAGATTATTGCATATTCAGGTAGAGATGTGAGAAGGGGTTCAGAGGAGAAAGTACCGATGCAGCCGCGTAGAGAGGGAGATTGTTGATGGGGTTGTGAGGATGAGGAAAGAGTGTTCCAGGTAACGAAGAGGGGGGTGGACCATTCGCGGAGGCTGCGGGGAGGGGTGAGTTGGGTTGTTTGACGGGGAGTAGGGGAGATACCGATGGGGGTGAATGAGGTGGTGGAACTAGAGGGAGTAGTTGCAGATGTGGAATTTGAGGTTGATGTTCGTTCAGAGGAACTGGAAGATGGAGTACTGGTTCCGGAAGTAGATCGTGTAATTCGTTGGAGGATAGGATGGCGTGCTGAATTTGTGGTTGAATTTGGATCGGGTCTTGGATTTGTTTTTGGTGGATGGGAACCAGTAATTTGAATATCGACATCTTCTTCTTCCTCTTCTTCGTTGTTTTGTAATTCGAGACCTTTAGGATAAGACGTCCATAATTCCTGAACCTTTTCCAAACCTAATGGTTGTCGTTTTTCGAGATGAGCAGTTAAAACTTCAAAACAATAGAGACAGTGATCTGGAGTTGCCATGGTTTTTGATGTTAGTGGTGAGGATGGATTAGTAGAAGATGGACTTGTTGTTGTATTGAGGGTTGGATTTGAATGGAGTTGTAGTTGTCGACTTGACGGTAAGGGAAGGGGATACGAGTATGGATACGAGTGATTGTATGAATACTTGAACTCGTATTTGAATTTGTATTTGTAATCACGTAATAAGTTAACTCTATGGTACTTGACAACCTTTGTGATGAGAGTAAGTTGGTGAAATGAGGTTATTGATGATGTTGAGATAAGGGGTTTGAGTGGAAGTGAAGTCTGATAGGGATAGGAAGGTTGTTGTGAGTGAATGTGAATGTGAATGTGAATGTCAGTTCCGGTAGAAGGAGCTCGGGGGTTGTGGGACTTCATAGCGGGGGTTATCGATAAGCTTTTAGTCTTGATTTGTGGAAATCGATGATGAATGTTTCAGGTACCTATGATTTGCATAAATCTCGATTTGAGTGGCACGAGTGGATAATTTCCGAATTGTGCATTATTATCCATTCCGGATTTGGACATTAAGAAGATGCAGGTGGATCATTCTAGTCCGAGATCTCCGGCTTACTCGGTTCATTAGGTCCCGTTAGTCGGTTGGTCGGTCGGTCGTCGGTAAGAATATAGATGAGTACCGGTAATTGAATGTCTGCTTGCTTTTTATTGCTTCATATCAATGATGATTATATTTCATTCCCATCGTGAAGCATGAAGCGGGAGTGGTTCGAATTAACCAACAGACGTTGACGTTGATATCATGGCGACGATGGTGATGAAGTTGTTGTTTCAACTTCTTTTGTATTGAAAGTGCAGCTGACAATAAAGCCCTTTTCATCATCATTCAAAGAGCTCCTGTTTTGAGTTTGAAAGATATCCTCCCTTATATGTCATCATTTCAAAGTACAAAGACGAATTTCTCGAGATATTCAGGTACTCAGCCCAGCCGACGCCACGATTTCACTACCAAGTATGATACGAATCACAAAAGGAATACCTAGGTACTCAAAGGCTATTTACAGATTAAAAGCAATAATCAATTTGCTTACATATCAATATCAGGTCTTATCTATCTAAGAAGCTCCAGCTTGTTATCAATCATTTCCCAAACCACCCAGCCTCAAACGAGACCTTTACCCCTTAAATCTATAAACAACAACAGAAAACCTTATTCCTCCACAACTTCTACAGCCTCCAAAAGTTCATCCGTTCGGATCTCAAGATTCCCGTCTTCCTCAAACTTTCTACGCATGAAGAATTCTTATTATATCAGACCATTGGATGTTTTCGAAGCTTCACGGGTAATGTTGGGATGACAGCCATCTTTGCATCTCGCTTCACTTCATCCATGTTTCATCCCCTTTTTTCTTTCAATCCTTACAAAACATCAATCCAGTTTTTCTTTATCGTTATCCCCAACTTCCCCCAGCAGATCTGAGAAATCTCCACGAGCTTAATTAATACTCTATACAACATGAGCCTTGTCCATACATTGGATGTATCATGACCATATGAATATCATCCAATTTGTAATGCAGTGAACCCCGGTTTCTGCTCGAATCATGATATCTGCGAATCAAGCAAAGCGATAGAGTTGAGTAGACATGGGATTGGCATGTTGATAGGTACCCCTTTGAAATCATCTCTTAATAGATATTGGATGAATTTTATGATGATGGCTTTGGGAAGCGAGAGGCGCAGGTTTGAGTCTGGATCCTCGTTTTGAGTTTGTGGGATGTTGATGGTTCGATGAAGAAAAGATATAAAGACGATGACCTCGAAGTATGGGGGATTCGTTTTATCACTACTTTCATCTCGTTCTTTATCCATCTATTCATCTATCAATCATTGATTAATTTCTTGTTTATACGTAATTACTTGTTGCCGGTCGACTTCATTAAATCATCACCATCATTGAATAGTCTTCTGCATTTTTTAATCGCTCAATACCTGAATAAACATATCCACCAGCAACCATGCAGTTCACACTCTTCACTATTCTTTCTTTCGTCGCCATTGCGATTGCCACACGTATGTTATCCCGATTTTCCGCATGCCGACCTACCTTCATCATCCACAGTCACCTTTCCGCTCCCCATATCAACGGAGCCATATATTATTCACCTGCTAACAAAAACACAGCTATTCAACTCGCAGCACGCGCAGTAGATGCATCGACTGCCTCAATGACCGATGCTCAGGGAAACGTCGTTAGCTTCGACTCTGCCAGTGTTAATCAAGGTACGCTACAAAAATTCTTCGTCTCTTTTCCGGAACATATGACAGTCTTTCCCCTCTGGTCTCTACCTTTCCATTTCTAAGATCAATTTGTCTGGTGTACTAACACTTTTGAAATTGCGTAGCTGCCAAGAACGCTGGCATGTAAATCAATTGCATGTCTGGATTTAACAGCTTCCATTCTCAATATATGGACACACGGAGTTTGAACTCAATAAACTCTTGATGGGGATACATAATGAAGCGGATATGGTCGAGATATCGTGTTGTATTCTGTGGTTGTTGTCAGCTTGGTCTTGGAGAAACTTATGCGGCATAGATTGTATTGCGTTGGTGTTTCTTTCATGGCAGTTGTCCATTGAACTGGGTTGGATTGGTATCGTCGGAGTAGAATATAGGAGTAGATCATATTGATGATCAAATCTGCACTTTATCACTGGTTTCTAATTGCATATCATAACCCACAATCGCTTTCATCATGAACGGCCATCAGTATCTCTCTTGCAGGAAGAATGGCAAGTACATGTCTCATTCATCGAGGATCATTCTGACTCTTACCTTCATCGGCTGTAATTCGGCTGATATTGGTTGTACCGCGTCGACAATATCTCAATCATTTCTTTCAACCTTCCAATCCAAGCTCATATATGCGCATAATCTTTGTCACAAGAAAAGCAAAACATTACTTGTATGTAATGTCTACCTGGTGGTCGTCCAATCTGATAAGCTAAGCCTTCTCGAGGCTTTCTATCACGGACAATCATCCGAACCTCAAATGTGGGGAAAGGTTCCACTAAAATTTTACGCCTTTAAATAGACATATGCTTACTAGACGTTCTTTCTTATCTTGTTACTCATCATATAGATTCCATTTTGATTCTTTATTGCTTTTCAAACTGCGTGGAAGATGACAACTCGGATACAGGTAGACCTCTTCATTTAATCGATCAATCCCGTCTCAATTTATCAAGCAAGTATGGTCGACTCAACTTCACAACCCCTTCGTTCAAACCTCCCCGAAACCCTCCATATCCTCCGTCTCGATCCAATCCATACACCCTCACCCGATTTTTCGTCGCTCCCAATCCCTTATACCGTCACCGAACTACCCAATCCTCCTCCAAAAGGTGACGAACTAATGACATATCTCAAACCCGTCCATGTATTAATCTCCACCCGTTTCTTCCTCACCTCATCCATTCTATCCCAACTACCAAATTTGAAGCATATAGCGATTCTTGCCATTGGAACAGATCATATCGATATCGCTTATTGTAAAGAACATGGGATTTCGGTATCAAATGTCCCAGCGGCAAGTAACGAAGCGGTGTCAGAACATGGGTTAACGTTGTATATGGCGCTTAGGAGAAATGTAGTAGGGATGCATGAGAGAACTAGAGAGGGAAAAGAATGGAAGGAAAAGGGAAGTTTAAGTGAGCATTTCTATGGGGGATTGATGACAGGATTTAAGGGGGAAGTGGTGGGAATTGTAGGGGGTGGAGAGTTAGGTAAGATTGCGGTTTCATTTTCTTGGGGTTGTTTTTGAGAGATTAAAGCGAAGGAGTGATTGAAGCGTAGTTGCTTCATGCTTCTCTTATAACCATCTATTAGTAGGAGGTATTGCCTAGGTGATATCGTCAAAGTTGACCAGATCATGTGATATGGCAGTCTATTGAGCTCTCGTCTCCTTTTCAAACCAAGGTAGTCAGTAGTCTGAATGGAGTATTCCCTATGAGCCTCAGAGTATTCAATATTCCGGGCTGCAGTCTAACAATATAAATTCCTGAGGATCTAAAGAAATTAGAGATCTAAAAAATTCAATATTCCAATCGAATTCAATACCTCAAATGATTGGAGATTTTGATAATCTGCATTGTGAATTGCGGTTCGGAATATTAAACACCCTGATAAAAACTGAGTGCTCAAATGGGCTTCCGGATTGAAAGCTTCTGGTTCTTTCACTGTCGGACTGGGCCACTGGAGACTATGCCCGCAATCCCACAACACCAAGCACACGAACCATAAAAACTAATAAATCATAGGAAATCGAATAGCAAACCTTTGTCGAGCCTTAGGAATGACCGTTCATATGTGTGAACGAAAAGGTGTTGCCGAATCCGAAACTCGTCCAAATTATACCCCATTCACCACCGTCATGAAAACCAGTACCGTTCTCTTCCTCTCTCTCCCCTTGACACCCACTACCGAAAATATGATTGCCTCGGCGGAACTATCAATAATGAGACCAGATACTCTCATCATCAATATCGCACGAGGAGGAATAGTCAATGAGGAGGATTTAGTAGATGCATTGAAGCAAGGCAAAATTGCAGGAGCCGCAACGGATGTTTATGTAGAAGAACCAGCCGGAGAAAGTAGTGCGTTAGTGAAAGCAGCGAGAGATAGCGAGTTGCGGGATAGTGGAAGATTAATCTTGAGTCCGCATGTTGCTTTGTATGGAATAAGTAGTGTGGAGAAATTGAGGAGGGTTGTGACGGAAAATATCAAAGGGTGGTGTGTAGGGTGTTTGATGGGAATGTCGTGGGCTGATTACTTAAGGGGTAACGTACAGTATAGGAATAGAAAGGCTGAGGCTACATGACGTGCGGTATTGGTGCCTCCCAGGCAGTCACATATCAAAGAATCAATTCAAGTTAACACCATTCAAATCATCGATATTCATTATTCCGATCGCCGGATACTCAATTGAATTCACATACTGAGAGGGTCTTTCGGTTTTGATCTCTCTTTTTCGTAGATTCTCAATTGAAACAACCGAGTAAATGATCAAAAGATGGTCTTCAATTTTATTATTATTATTATTATTATTATTATTATTATTATTATTATTTATTAATTATTATTATTATTATTATTATTATTATTATTATTATATTAATTATTATTATTATTATTATTATTATTATTATTATTATTATTATTATTATTATTATATTATTATTATTATTATTATTATTATTATTATTATTATTATTATTATATTATTATTATTATTATTATTATTATTATTATTCATGTTTTATTCTACATCAAAATTTCCACAGCTTTATATATATCAATTACAAAGGAGCCAAAGGAAACTAATTCTACCAAGAGCAGTCTTACATCGATTGATAGCTATGAAACAGGCTACAGCAATTATATCGCTTATCATCAGCAATTTGGGTTATCAAAATAACAAGCTGGATTGCTTATATAGCAGCGCTAAGGAACTATATCACTTTTTTAAATGCATTATAAATAATTTAAAGTGTTCAGATTAGTCTTTGTCTTTGTAGAAATGCAATCTAATAAGTAGGCGATTACATATATCAAGAAACTCTTATATACATCTAGCAAGCTTACTCAGTTGATTACTAACTCAGAATTCTATACTCAAATTTATTTTAACTATTAAAGGATCTTTAGAAAGCAATAATCTTTCAATAAAGCTTACTATCTACCCCTTATAAACTCATTACTCAATTGATTATTTGAATATATTATATCTTTAAAAACCGCAAACCTAATATACAATACAAGAGCCCTACTGCTCGGCTAAACAAATAACAACTCATTTTTATTTCTTCTTTTTTACTATAAGGATTGAAGCCCACAACGAGCCTATCCATTTGGGAATCAAGCTCTATCTCAATAACAATCCGGATCAGATGTTCCCTTCTAGAAACAGAAATGGATCGCATCTACAGAAAAACGAATAGCCCCTGGTATTGAAGTTAAATTGCTAAATTCGATTGCGACAATTATGCTGCTCAAATAGTTCCTTATCTTAGCACATCTAAATACCCTTAGGGAGATTCAAAACAGATGTTAATTAATATAAATAAATAAATAAAATAAATATATATATCAATCTATGTCTAACTACAAATTACCCCAACCAACCCGTTCTATAAGACTCTGAGTTATTCATCGAATCATTAATCCTGGTGCGCATTCCCAATCCGCACCATCTACCAAAACCACTCCAGATCAGCAGGTCTATCATCCAAAGCCCACGATTTCCATCTCTCCAAAAGCTCAATTTCTCCCTCTGTAATGGCAAACCAGGAATTCTTCCTACACCATGCGTTGAAGAGCTTAGCCGTTCTCCATTCATGGTGCATGGAATTATCGCATCTGTAGAGGAGTATCGACGAGGAAGAGTTTCCAGGGGTGGCCGTTGATGGTGGTTGTTGGACTTGGTGAGGATCAGGATCGGGATGAAGGAGATGAGGGAATCGAAGGCGTTGAAGAAGTTGAAGGTGTCAATAAACCAGACGGCATGTCCTCCTCTTCATCCTCAGCATCATCCTCAAATGTAGGTCAGGGTGGGCTGAGGGAGCCAATGGTGATTCAACAGGTACCCATTCACTTGAAGAAGTTGAAGGAGTCAAGAAACCTGATTCCATTTCATCTTCATCTTGACTTTCATCTTCATCTTGATCTTCATTTTCATCTTTATCACCGGCCTCAATCTTAGCAGCAGTCGTTTCTGCATTTTCCAAAATATCCTTCAGCTTTCTTCCAATCCCTCCAATCGCTCAACTGAATCGGTCACTTCACGGATTCTTGATCTCAGAGAGCTTGGAAGGCTAACGGGGATTTTTGACCGGAGTTTGGTAAAATGAAATGGAGAAAGAGAAAAAGTCGGGGATCTTGTTTCGTCTGCAATAGCACGCTTATCCAGATGGGTCGGCCTTTCTTCCTTGGTGTCAAAGTCCACGAAATTGAGGAAAAGACGTTTTTTTACTTGGGACGAGGGAGATTGACTTTCTGAATGTTTGAGATCGGAAGAAATTTCTATTTCTTTCTTATCTTCTGCGTCGGTATCGGCTTTGTATATTTCCTTTGGTTTACATATTATTGTCTTGTATGAGTGTGGTTTGTCCGACCCCGTGGCAATATTGTGTTCAATTCCGTTAAGTGGTGAGGAATTGTATTTGATGGATGCGGGGATTTTTTCCCGAATAGGTTGTGGAGGGAGGGGTTTCTTCCCTTTTCTCTTCGTTCTCAGTAGCGTTCTTTCTCTTCTTCCCAAAAAGCATCTGTAGATGCTCCAATGTGATATCTGCCCACAATTCACCAATCTCGCAAATAGCGCCAACCAAAGGCCAGTTTGGTTGTTCGGTGAATATAAATGCGAGGAACTTGAACTTTCCCCTCTGCTTCAAACCCGAAATTTTAATTGCTTTGCTGGCAAGTTGATAGACGCCATAGAAGACGAGGAATTCTAGATCTAGGCTCATCAGAATTGAGAGCGATACGAGAATTTTTCTCGTATTCTTCCAAGGATAAGGTTGAGAGGTGGCGGTTTTGTCATTAGAAGAAGGGTAGAATGAGGATATTTTTTTAATCATCATCGAGGATAGAGAGATATGCTGTGATGATGCTGAGTGCTAGTGATAGTAATAATAGGTGGGTGGATAATGTTTGGAGTGAAGATATACATTGATGGACTTGGGGAGAAGTCATGTTTGCTGGATTCGTCATGTTTGCTGGATTCGCCATGGTTATCTCTGGTTTGTGTGTACAGTATATGTGAAGGTATCCGTAAAGGTATGCGCGAACGAGTTCCTGAATGTTGGTACGAAGTTGAAGATAGCAAAATTTCTCAAATGCGGGGGGAGCAACCTTTATATAGAAATTTATCTGCGAACCAGCCAAGTCCCAAGAACAGATCTACACGCTAAAGACAAACCGTTGGATCTAATCCAGAGAATTCATTATCTTAGACTTTTGTAGTAATTGACGAGCTCTACAGTGGAAGGACCTAGCCTGGATAGGCATAAATTGTACAATAAGATCGGTTTTCATGCGCTTAGCGGCATGGTCTAGCTCAATGATAGTCCAGGTCGTTAACATAAATTTCAGGTTTCTTCTACCTTTGGGGTTTGAGTTGGTGCTAAATATTAACTACTGATATCTAGTCTACGAGCTAAGAGATTTAAGTCTCTTTCTGTGTGGGGGAGACAGATTTATGAGTCTAATATCTTAGTTTTCATGCTAGTCGTGCGCTAAAATGAGGGGGACAGATATGACATCTCGCTTAAACGAAGGTGCGAAGAAGCTTTGAGAGACATAATTTCATGATCGTGGTCCGTCATGGATAATCTAGATAATTTATCTATGTAGTTAATCTTTTTAGGGATAAAGATTCATTATTTTCTCATTCAGGATCCATTTCATCTACAATTTCTCTTCTTTGATGATAAGGTCATTCCAAATTATGAATTATATTGTGTGTTGAGATTTACGTCACAAACTTTCACTTTATTCTGGTTGGAATATTTTTCCGATAATAAAACTTTGTTGAAAACTTAAAGTTCCAATGACAAACTATCAGACTTGTGCGTTCGGGCGGTTGTGCAATTCTTTGGACTTAGATAGTAATATGGTGTAATGTTTTCATCACTTTAGCTTCAACGGTTTCTTTCTTGTCTTCAAAGGTGAAAGTGAGGAAAGGCTGAGATCACAGGACAACGTATACTTTTTTGCTTTAAGAGAGGCCTTGGGTGGAAGAAAAGTTTAACTTCTAGGACAAGATAGCCTAGAGCTCTGAATTCTAGTCTTCGTTTGATATGACATTCCGGCTTGTGCTACTGCAGGCATATTAAAGATACTACCTATTTTTAGATCAAATATGTCAGTTAAAGGGGGCAGTGATTGTTCATGATGAGGATAGAATTGATAGGTGGAAGGCATAAAATAAACTTTCAGGTGGCCGATCAAAGTCTGTGATGAAATTTCTAGAACAAACATATTAGTACTAGTGTCAATGATTTACTTTGGCTATCAATCTAGCTCCATCACCAAAAGACTTGATAATCACCAATTACAATGTCAAATCCCGTGATGAGTCGGAAAATTTTCAAGACTTTATCGGTCTATAGTTGGCATGACGGATGCTTAATACTAGCACAGCCTTCTCGAAGACGACATAAGACATCCACGTCATTTACGTCCTTCGATATTCGAACATTGACAACCTCTGAAGTTTATGAAACTTCCAACGCTCAATTATAAGTCACAGAATCACTTACCCAGCAGATAAAATATATTTCAGCACGGTGTTGATCACAAGAGCTCCGGTCCCAGCCAATCTTGATGAACGTTATTGTCCTAATTAATAGTGTTTCCTCATCTTTCCGGAGACAATGAAAACATTCAAAAAAACGTCTTCAGAAAGAAGAACAATATTTGAATTATGTTAATGTAGTGACAAAGACAATCCTTGAGAGATCGATAAAATAATAGAGTGTTCACGTAGGGATTATACAAGGTAATCAGTAATGTTAAAAGAGATACATGAGAATTGTTCATGAGAACCGTATTTAATTATTTAACATTTCATCATACAAAATAGACCGTCATTAATTATCATCCAAAATTTCCTTAATCGTTCATCGTAACCGCGCTGGAGAAAATCACAGCCCAAACTTTTACCATCCCTTATTCTTCTACCTCCTCATTCTCTTAGGTAGACTGCGTGTCCTCACAACTTGACAGGTTTCTTTGAAACTTGATCTGCCTTTTCACTACCAGTTGTCTTTAAACTGCCGGTTGTCGTTCCACTACCAGTTGTCTTTAAGCTACCAGTTGTCGTTCCACTACCAACTGTCTTTACACTACCAGTTGTCTTTAAACTGCCGGTTGTCGTTCCACTACCAACTGTCTTTACACTACCAGTTGTCTTTTCACTATCAGTTACCATCTCACTACCAGTGACCTTCTGAACAGCCTTGGTCATTCTCCCTTCTTCAACTCGTCTCTGTTCATCCATAGACCTGTTCGAGGCAATGCGAGCGCGAATATTTTGTATGGCGATAGCAAAAATGATGATGAAAAAAAAGGCGATTGAGACACCTGCAATGTAGGCGGGCCTTTGCTCGTCACTTATGGATTTTGCATCATGTATTGGAATACATGATCTCAAGGTGATAGCTCTGGCGCAAGTGCTATTTTTGGAGGTGATTCCGGCGTAAAAGTTATCGGTGCTGTTGGAATTCATGGTGTTGTTGGGATTCATAGTTATGGTTTGGTATATGTTGAGTTGAATTTGATCGTTTGTGTAGAAAGTGATTATGTAGAAAGCGATTGTGATAAAGCGATTGTGTATAAAGCGATTGTATATATGTATATTATATAAGTTGAATGATAGATTCGCGAATGTTTGTGAAAGAGTGATTGGGTATGATCAGAACGTGAAGAAAAATTGGGGAAATATTTATATGCGTTCGTGAAGTTGTACGCTAAGAAAAAACGATCAATATAGGGGTTACTTCATCCTATCAGATAAAGCATATAATTAGTTATCATGTTTAAAGTCTAATTTAAGGATGATCTCGAATAGTGAATGACGTTTCCCTGAGGCGCACATGTAGAATTTACTATTCAGCCTGAAACTAGTTCTGTGGTATCAATTAGCTCATGGGCGATCTGCACTAATTGCGGTATTTGAACATAGATTGTCCCATGACCGCTCGGCAATGCTTATGAGAGACATAAAAAATAAAAAATAAAAGTGTTTAGGTTTTATTCAAAGCCACAAATCATGGTTGACAGTGAGACCATATTTCGAGGTTAAATGATTTTCGAATTTGACAAGCAGATACTTCATCGAGTGCAAGGTCTTTAGAGTTTGAAAGGAGTGAACTTCAATGCTAAAGTTGTTGGCCCATTGATGACATTCAAATCTCATGACAAAGTTGAAACTGTCTGCCTTGGTAAGGTACAGTTTAGCGCGAGTAGCTATAATGAAAGACATGCTGACATTCTCTCTTGAGCAATGGTGCGACGAAGATGAAGGAGCAGCCAAGGAAGCTATAGAGAGGGGATTATAGATGACAAGACAACCCCTCATGGGATACACACTGCTTATTGCCATTTTAGGTATATAACCCGTTTAGCTGAAGATCAAAATGTGTGAATTGGGATGATATGTCAGGTACTAGTGTGGAGTGGATTCTAGCGGCTCTTGGAAGAGCGACCCTATGAATGGCATTTAGAAGTTTGTTGGGATGAATTTGTTCATCGTCATCTTAGTTTGTAACAGAACTGTAATTGAAATGTGATTTGGTCAGAGGGATGTGGGAATGACGGTACTCGAGTCTTAGTGCCTTATAAAATTAGATTACCAAGGCAATCGAATACTAGTCGAACGCTTCTTATTAGAATGTGGCCTATGGGAAAAGGTCATAGATATGCAACGAAAACTTTGAAAGACCTGTGATGAATTTTGATTGGATGATAGTAATGTTAATGAACACCATTAGAGTTTTGGATCGGCATTAGCTGACGAGGAAAACTGTAAGGAACAAAACCAATAGCTAATCAGAACATCGAAAGAACATCAGAAGAAGAGGCTAGGATAAGAAAAAATGACCTCGGGATAAATCATGGAGTACTTGCTTCTAAACTACAGAGGCAGATCAGGAACATGCATGATTTTGAAAATTCCAATCATATCTGGATTGGTAAGACAAGATACAATAATAACTTCAACAATGATGACATGTGGAATTTTACTTTCCGATATACTCATCACTTCCAAACATTATGGCAAGGATGAAAGTTTCGAAAGCTCGGAGCGATACGGTCCACTCATCTTCTCCAGCCTCTGCACGTAACTTCCATCAAGTAAACCACGTTACAAAATTTCGTTGGCTGTACTTTAGGCTATCAGTCAATTCATCAATTTAAATCCCTATATTACCAAGAATTGGCAAGTTTCTCGGAGAAGTCCAAACATCGATCTGCAGCAGTTGCCGCGTTCATTGCTTCTTTGTATCATCCCATTTTATTCCCCACGAGGAGAATATCATAAGGTGTACTTTAGATTTCATGCAACTCCACTTTATTACCCTCTACTTCCTTCGTCTCCGCTGCAAACTCAACGATTGTATGGCTAAGTATCTCCCTTTGCCTTTCAGTCACCATCCGTATTGGTACTGGTGTGGGGAATGAATAGAGTAGTAATGAGAACCAAGAATCCGTGACTTCCATCAGATCTGGGAAATATAGATTGATACCCCATTCTAATGTGAGGCCCGCTAGGTGATCTGTTATGTAATCCCGATGCGTATCTATATGGGCACAAGTTTGAGACGGGAGATCAATAGATGAACCCCACAATGTGTAACTGACAAGATTGGGTAAGAAATAACCATTCCCACCATCTGATTCCTCCTCAGAAACATGTCTTAACAACACAACTGCAATGTTTCCTCCAGCAGAATCTCCCGAAATGACGATTTTAGATGGAGAGATACCCAAATAAACAAGATGCTTGCGTGCATTAACTCCGTCTTGGAGAGCCACCGAAAATGACAAAGCGGAATCGCAGACAAGGTCGTATTGGACGAGCAGTGCATATTTAGCTTTGTGTTTGATGAGAAGCTCAGCCGCATCCGAACATTCAGATACTCGACTAGATCCGAATATGAATGAGGCACCGTCGAAGTGTAGAACGACGGTGTCTTGCTTGTCGAATTAGAATAATCTTGAGTATCGTGTGCCTCCAATCATAAATGGTATGACGGGAGCAATGGCAAGAATGTCACTTACATCTTCTCAATTCATGCTTTGATTGTTAGATATTAATCTCCTTCTGCCCCTGGATCCATCGAGAGAGGTGGTATAAGCTTGATATATATGATAGGGCAGAGAGCAACTCTGATAAATTCGTTGATCATGGCGTTGCGGTGTGTCCATTCAGAATTTTGATGTGTACATTTAGGATGTAGTAGAGACCTAGGAAAAGCATGTGGGCTGTAAGATGAATTGCTGCGATGGAGAAACATAAAGCTTTCCTAAGCTGTCGAGCGTAAAAGCCTTTCAGAGGCGGATCCATTTCGAATGTAGGGAGGAACAGGTTTCGGCAGGTGCATGATCTCGATCGCTTCCGAAGTTGAGAATGGTGTATCAAATCTACTTCAGTAATCCAAACAAAATGAATCAAATAATCGACTAGAATGCCACTTTTCATTTAACCGCAGTGTAAAAACCACGATTGCTGGATATAGACGGGAATAAAGCAGTGTGATGCCAGTGATTCAAAGATTATTCAAGTACCACTTGTCACCGTTCTGTCTACACTTGTAGAAATTAGGATTTTGAGAGGTGCATCAGCATCATGTTTGGTAACCAACACTTGTGTATGTTGGGAGCGTAGCTCTACCGTGCCCCTTTAAAAGCACGAACCTATCAACTTGATCAGAATGTTGTATTCGGATCACTGCGTAATCATTTGTATACTTATTCATGCCTTTGGTGGAAAATGTATCACTTGTTCTATAGGGTATCATCTGAATCTCGAAACCAAATCAATCCATTCCAGGAAGCCCTTCAGTCCCACCAATCTTTTCCCAAAATGCTTCAAAGTCGACTCCTTGTGATTCGAACATTACTTTGGCCTTCTCCATTGTGATCTTTTGCTGTTCAGGACCAAATCCTTCCGGTTTCGATGATTCGAACTGAACCAATTCAATCCATTTGAAGAAAAGGTTTTCCTTCCCCATCAATGTCAATTCATCCTTGAAAGTTGTTATTTTCTTCCTTCCCAACTCTTCCTTACTATTTGGGTCGATAGGAGCCTCAGTTTGAACCATCCATCCATAAGCTGCGTGCCATGCGAAGACAGTCGTCTTGAAATCTTGAAGATCCATAGTCTTCTTATCCACCATTTTTGTAGCTTGAATCATAGCTTTCCAATCCAAATCCCATTCTCTGTTCAACATCAAATATCCGGTCTTTTGTGACAACCATAATGGCTCAATCGCCTTTCTGACATTCGATGACATTAATTCTTTCCCAGTTTCATTATCTTCCTTCAAGAAATCCCCAATTGTTTGATCCCATTTTCTACTACGGCGCACAACAATCTCACTTTCGCGGAAACCTACTCCTAATCTCCATGACACTGGGTTACCGATTGTTCGTCCCAGAAAGAAATCTCGAGGCCATGGCCAAACAAAAATATATAGAAGTAAATCGATCATAAATATTGAAGCACGACGTAAAATCTCGTATCCTGTATCATTCAATGGTATCTTATGAGTTTGAATGGTCGTCTCGTTGTAATTCCCCATCATCGAAAAACAAATCTTCATGTAAAAGGGGAAGACAGTAGAAGCGCGCCATAGGAGTCCTACAACAATTGCAACATTCATAAGCACCGGAACCAAGAAGATCTTCTTTTTGAAATCTGCGGGATGTTTGTCGATATGCGCAATGTAAATATGATACTTCGAGAGCTTCTCTAGGAATGGTTGAAGCTTTGGAGGAGGCCGTGTAAAGGGGGCAGGAGGTTCATCTGAAGTGGTTGGGGATGATCTCTTAGCAGAGGTAGTATTAAACGTCCTCTTCGACTTCGCTTTAGGAGGCATAATGATCCGTAGATACAAGAATGTATTAAAAATTATGTGGTTGTGAAGTTTAATTTGTATGGAATGTGAATGGGAAGGGCTGGAACAATGTCTCGGAATATTGAAATGCGTAGTTAGTGCATTTCGGTAACCGTAAATTCCTTCAATCATCATGATGGCAACTTTATGAAAATTGTTTAAATATTCATTGAAACGACAATGCAATCATGAGGAGGGGTCGCAATTTAATAAAGGTATGGAACTTAAATCTTATAAGATTTTATGATAATCTAATCAATATAGGAAACATCAGCTCCATCAGTATGCGCTTTTTGTTGGCATCGACTTGGAGGAATTGGCCCTACTTCACATACACAGCGTCGATTTTTACAGTCCTCTGATTCGAGATCAAAACCACCCGCCGAAGGTACTGCGGTGCGAGAATCTGAAGAGTATGAATCAGCTCCACTTGCGCAGCCCAAGGCACCTGTCACACCATGGCGTCCTGGACCTGGAATGGGAAGTGGCTTCAGTAAGCCGGCCTTTGGAGGCTCTAAAATTCCAGGAGTAGGACCTTCTGCTAGCTTCGGTCGTCCAGCTGCTGGAATTCCTATGAAGTCAAGAATACCAGACCCTCCCAAACCAGAGCGACCTGCACAGCCTTCTGCCGAAGAAGAGTTCCATGTAAGTCAACAACGAAAAGTCGAGATACATTCAGGGCCGGGACCAGAGACGAATAGAGCCTTTAGACCCATACCACGTTCACAAGAGGAGAAAATTGAGATAGCTAAGGCCGCTGCGAAAAGGAAGGAGGCTATGGATATACATGCGACGAATAAGCAGCACACTGTACAGGATGCGCCTTTGCGATTTTTTGAGAAAGACGACTCTCGTATTCGTAGTCAGACTTCCAGTCAAATAATCAATGACTCAACCGAAACTCCTACTCAACCTGAAAGCATTGAAGAAAGCTCCGAAGATGCATCCACATGGACTCAATTGAGAAAGAAGATAGAAGAGAATCGACCGCCGCCACCAGTTAAACCACCACAAGATCCTATCACTGAGGCTCAAACCAGAAGAGAACAGGAAGCTAGTTCGGGGACTTATACGCCGCTGAGAAGTAGACTTCCATCAGAAAGAGGTCGCTTTACAGAAGTTCCAAGAGCGGACATGTGGAGTAGGCCAAATAGTTATAATAAAAGTAATAACATGGCCAAAACCCCACAAACGAGTCCCATGAATGATTATCAACCCCCGCAAAACAATGGTTATAACAGATCCATATTCAACTCACATCCTGCCACAGATTCTCAACCCGTACGTCCAGCTCAATCAGCACAATCAGCTCGCAGTATGTTGAAACCTCTTGGATCTTTTGGACCTTCACTTGGCTCAGGTTTTGGTAAGGCTGGTGGAAGTAGTTTCAAGATTCCCGGTTTGACAAGCCCAAGCCCATTGGTTGAGTCAGTGAGACCTCAGGAAGTTGAAGATGCGGTTGAGAAGCCTGCCGAAAAACAGGTTGCTTATAGTCCACTAGCGACAGAGCCGGAGGAGTCGAATGTGCGTGGAAAAGTCATCAACGAATTTTCATCTCCAGCGGAATTAGAAACGAGGCACAGAAGATTATCGGGACGTTGGGGAGTTGACGAAGATGCCGGGAACAATCCAAACCACAGAGATCACTCGTTGCCAAGAAATGCCCATAGTAAGCAAGCCAAAAAGGCAGCTAGGAGACAGCGAGAAATAAAAACGGACCAAGACGAAGATGAAGCGAGTGAGTTAGCTGCTGAGCGAGCAGAACTCAAAAGGCAAAGAAAGCGTGAAAAGGCAGAAAAGAAAGCAGCTGCACCAATCCCTATGATTTTGCCAGAGTTCATTAGCGTCTCGAATTTAGCCGTCGCACTCAGAGTCAAGCTTGAAGATTTCCTCGACAAATTGGAAGAATTAGGTTTCGAAGGTGTTAATCATGATCACATTTTGAATGCTGAAAATGCTGGACTTATTGCTATGGAATACAATTTCGAGGCCATCATTGAAAGAGGTGAGTCTGAAGATTTGAAAGCTAGACCTCCAGCCGAAGATCCTTCAATACTACCTCAAAGAGCTCCGGTTGTTACTATCATGGGACACGTCGATCATGGTAAAACTACAATTCTTGATTATCTACGAAAATCTTCCGTTGCGGCATCAGAACACGGCGGTATTACACAACATATCGGAGCATTTTCTGTACCTATGCCTTCAGGGAAAACGATTACTTTCCTCGATACTCCTGGTCATGAAGCTTTCTTGAGTATGCGCCAAAGAGGTGCTAACGTTACTGATATTGTGATTTTGGTTGTTGCAGCAGATGATAGTGTTAAACCACAAACGATTGAAGCTATCAATCATGCCAAAGCAGCAAAGGTACCAATCATTGTCGCAATCAACAAAATCGATAAGCCTGAAATTGATATTGAGCGAGTGAAACAAGATCTTGCTCGTCATGGTGTCGATGTCGAAGATTTTGGTGGTGACACTCAAGTCGTATGTGTAAGTGGCAAGACTGGAAGAGGAATGGATGATTTGGAAGAAGCCGCTGTTACTTTATCCGAAATTCTTGATATGCGTGCCGAAAGAGATGGTCCAGCAGAAGGTTATGTCATCGAAGCAAGTATCAAGTCTATGGGTAAGGTTGCTACAATCTTGGTTAGAAGAGGTACCATGCGACCGGGAGATTTTATCGTCGCTGGTAAAACTTGGGCTAGAATTAGATGTCTACGCAATGAAGCCGGTATGGAGATTGAAGAAGCCGGTCCAGGTACACCAGTGGAAATCGATGGATGGAGAGAACAACCATCTGCTGGAGATGAAGTTCTTCAAGCACCTGATGAAGCAAAGGCCAAGAGTGTTATCGAATTCAGACTTGAGAAAGAGGAAAGGGATAAATTGGCCGCGGATATGGAAGCTATCAATGAGAACCGCAAAATTGAACACGATAAACGCGAACGTGAAAAGGCAGAGAAGGAATCTGCTCTTCTTGGCGAAGAAGTCGAGAAAGATGATTCTTCTACTCCTAACAAAGATCCTACCGGTCCTAAACCTGTCTACTTTGTCATCAAAGGAGACGTGAGTGGATCCGTCGAAGCAGTAGTCGATCAATTGAACGCAACTGGTACTAAAGAAGTAGAACCTATCGTTCTTCGATCTGGAGTCGGTAAACTCAGTGAATCTGATATCGAACATGCTGCCACTGCAAAAGGTTACGTTATTAACTTCAACACTGAAGTTGAACCGAACATTGCCCAATTTGCTGCGCACAACAAGGTTAAGATCTTGGACCATAACATCATCTATAGATTGATGGATGATGTAAGAGCTGAGATGTCGAAATTCTTACCACCGTTGGTTACACAAAGAGTATTGGGTGAAGCTGTTGTGGCACAAATCTTCGATATCAATATCAAAGGAAGGAAATATAGGAGTGTAGCAGGTTGTAAGGTTCGTAATGGTACCGTGTCTAAGGATGATAGATATAGGGTACTGAGAGATGGGGAGAAGGTGTTTGATGGTATGTCATTGCTTATTGTTTCTTTTGATTCTCATCATTACCTTGCCATTGCCCAGCTCCCGTTTCAAGGAGCAATTAGAATTTAATATACTAACTCGGTTGATAGGCAAACTCGAATCGCTCAAGAACGTAAAGAAAGACGTTTCGGAAATGAAAAAGGGTGGTGAATGTGGTATGGGATTTTCAGGATGGACAGACTTCCAAATCGGAGATCAAATACAGGCATATGAGGAGAAGCAGGAGAAGAGATATTTGTAATTCCTTGTAGAAGTAGTTGTGAGGATTTGATACGTATCAATATAGATTTCCACTCGCATTTGCGGAGGTCGAAGATGAGAGATAGGAGATGGATGACTGAATGAATGAATGGATGAGAAAAGTTTATACCGCATGATTATATGAAAGGACAGATGGTTTTTATGTATAGATACTAGATTAGTAGATTCTGTCTTCAATTCACTCACTGCTCTTGTATGGATCGAAGATTCTTTGATTTCATTTCATTTCATCAAAGAGATGGATGGATTTATCTCACCTCGTCTATTGACTCGGAGAACAAATAGATCGAAATTTATCAACTCATAAATCCGATAATAAATCAACTACACAAAAAATCATAAAAGTTAATAGTATTAAACAAATCCTTAACTAGCCTCTAACTGCAATACTATCCAAATTTCCAATTCTCCAACTCGAATCGGAACAATTAAATTGGTGAGAGGGGTTTCGCTAGTGGTCAATTCTGGCCTGTTTTTTTCTTGTATGGATACTATGTAGGTAGAGGTCAGAGGATAGATAGCTAGCCAATTCCTTGCTTCAGATGATTACTCGCTCGAATGAATCTCAAGGAATGGAAAGTGTGGTTTGTATACGGAATTACGGAGTACTCATGATCACTCAGAGAATCTGGAGTCTCGACGATAGCATCAAAAGATATTTCTACAAGTAACCTAAACCCACTTCTTCCCATTGCATTGCAATTCCCACTCCAACTCCTACACTACATCTACATCCCCATATACAACCACATCAATATCCCCATTCCTAGGCCTTGGTTGTAGATGTTGATGCGGATGTTGATGCTGATGTTAATGTTAATGTTACAGGCGAGTATGATATACCTAGGTAGAGGGGGGGTAGTGTAGTCTAGTAAGTCGACTGAGTCTGTGCTCTGACACGAAACGAAACGGAACGGAATGGAACGAAACTCGTTTCCTGACCACTTCGCATGGAATAACCTTATGATATTCATGATATGATATGATGGTTGTTGGATTCATATTCGTCCGATATATAATATATAATATATAATGTTTGATATTTGAGTTTATTTTTTTTTTGAAACGGAGTACGTGGGGATTGATGGGTGCCTAAGTACTCGGTTGGCATGGATGGATGGATGGATGGATGGTGCTTTGGTGGTTGTTTCAGGATTTGGGAGCGAGGGAGAGGATGAAACTTTTCTTTACTTTTCTTGGGAATGAGAGGTGAGTTTTGATGTGTGGATTGTGTGGTTTCGCGGTCGAGGCATGATGCGAAATGAATAATGCATGATGCATGATTGATCGACGATGGATGAGGAGGGAGGAGGAAAGTAAGGTAAGGTAAGGTAAGGTAGGTGAGGTGAGGTGAGATTTTGTTGCGAGGTTTGTGTGTGTGTGTGTGTCACTGATGTTTTCGCATCGGATGGATGGATGTGGGTAGGTAGGTAGGTAGGTAGGTAGGTATTGAACGATGAGAAAGGAGAGGGGTTATGATTTCAACTAATTATCCGAGTATTATATTGTATTGTATTGTATTGTGTTTGGAGGTTTGATTTGGCTATTTAATTGAATTTGTTTCTTTTCGGATTCCTTGGATTTGAATCTGAATCTGGGTCTGCATTTGGATCTGCATTTATATTGATATTTATATTTACATTGGATCTACCAGATTATATCACACCACATCTGCAAGTCCTCGACGAGATAATTACTCAATACAACGACACCTCGAATTTCTCCGATACGAAAAAACACAAAAGATAAATAAAACCTTGTTTCTATGTTGAGCTTGTAGATCTACACATTCACATTCACATCTTCATATTGATTTCTATTCAGCTAGGCTGGGAAGAGAGAGATATATTACATCACAAACTACACCCGGGAAACGACCTTTTAAAAAAGAAACACACACCTAAAAAACACCTCTTCGGAAAAAATAATTATGAAATCAGCCCTCACCTACCTCTACAGCAGCACCAAAAGCGCCGCGGAGGAACGCTCCCAAAATCGAGAATGGAGACGGACGTATGATGGGAATGGTGGGTATCGGGTTAGTAAGTTGGGGGTTGGGGAACAGAGGGAGAGGAGATTTACGATTGGAGGGTTGGGGGGTGGGAGTGGGAGTGGGAGTGGGAAGGAGAGGGGGGATGGGGATGTGGGTGAGAGGAGGAGGGAGAGGGAAAAGGAGAAGGAGAAGGAGAGGAGGTTTACGATTGGGGATTGGGGATGGGGATGGAAAGGAGGAGGGAGGAGGGAGAGGGGGAAGAGGAGAGGGATGGGGATGGGGATGGGGATGGGGAGGGGGAGGGGAGATGATAAGTGGATTACGATTGAGGAGATGGATGGGGATGGGGATGGGGATGAGGAGGGAGAGGGGAATATGGATGGGCGCGGAGAGGGAAGAGAGGGAGGAGGAGTGGGGAGAAGAGAAAAGGAAAGAGAGAGAGGAAGGTGGAGGAAAGTGTTATTTCCATGTTTCAACCTGCTTTGAAGAGAGGGGATTTTTGATTTGGGGGGAGGGAGTTTTGGATGATGGGAATGGAAGATGGAGTTTTCTTTGTTTGCTGGGTGGTTATTAGTTAATGAGGGGTTTGCCATGGAATCTGATAGAAAACAATCTGTTTGATTTCTTCTTATTTTAATTTGTGTGGATTGATTAGAATGGAATGATGAAACTCTAAATGTAGTTCTAATCATCTAGGTCTCGAAAAATAATGAAAAGTTCTCATACTCATCTTCCTTTTCAATTCCTTCTCTTAGAAAGTCTACACAACAACACCCTCTCCAATCTCCACAATAGCCTTCACTAACCCCTCCATTGTTTCCCGTCTCGTCTGAACATTCACCACCGCCCTGAAGAATTTCCCCTTTTCCCCACTCGCATAATCCACCATAAATCCTCTCGTCAACAATTTCTGCGCTACATCCTGTGTGATTTTTGTATTTTGTTCTTTGTCCCCTAGCTTCCCCTCCTTTGCATAGTAGAAACAAACCTGCAAACAGGGCGGTGGATTTTGCGAAACAAGTACCAGATCACTATGGTCCTCTACCAACTGGGCAAAATATTCCGCACGGAAAAAGCAATGATCGATTTGTTGCTGGAAACCCGATGTACCGTAGTAGATCCAGGAGAGAGCTAGTTTGAGAGAATCTCCACGACGACCACACTGCAGAGTGAGATCTGCGAGGTCCCAGACTTCGGCTCCGTCTTCGATGGTGTGGAAGAGGTAGTCTGCGGGGAGAGTGTTTGCTTTGTGGAATTTTGAGATATCGGGTGCGAGGAGGAAGGAACAGGTTACGGGGACATTTAGCATTTTATGCGGATTTACGGCTAGAGAGTCGGCGAGGTGAGAACCTTTTAATTTGGAGGCGTGGGTGGGAGAGAAAATGGCGGGACCACCCCATGAAGCATCGATGTGGAACCAGAGGTTGTGGGATTTACAGATGGCGGAGATTTCGGTAAAGGGGTCGTAGGAACCATAGATGGTGGTTCCGGCGGTGGCATTTACGTAAAAGGGAGTTTTGTTCTCGGAAATGCTCTTTTTGATGAGAGAGTCGAGTTCAGAGGGAATCATACGACCTTGAGGATCGACGGGGACGGGAATCACGTTATTGGATCCCAGACCACACATTTGAGCGGCTTTTTCCAGGGAATAGTGACCATGAGCCGAAGTGAAGAGAGCGAATTGATGATTTCCATTTCCATTTTGTTTTGTGTCTGGGAAAAGAGTATTGCGGGCAATGATCATGGAGGTAGTGTTTGAAGCCGAACCACCTTGAGTTGAGATACCTCCTGCGTGAGGACCATTGAAACCGAAAAGATTGGCAAAGGCTTTTGCCGTGGTTTTTTCAATAATGGTCAAGGCAGGGGAAACTTGGTATACATGAACCTATTGATGAGTTTAGTATAGGGCTGACATGATGGATGACATGCAAGGTTATCAGTCGTCAAGACACGACCCATGGAGGATTAATCTTACATTTGTATTTAAAACGGCCCATGTTAATTCCGAGATAATTCCAACCTATCAATCAAGTTTTCAGCTGAAGGACTTGTTGAATGTGTAACTTTCACACCGCTTCAATTGTGGATGCAGAGAGATGCAGATGAATACGTACCGCATTGGTGCTTGCATACAGTTTATCTAAGAATCCTTGATCCCACGTATTCACACTGTATTTGAGCACTTGCTCGATGGATGATAATAAACCCTCTTTTCCTTTTCCATTGATGGGAAGATTGAAATCTAGCAATTGGAGTAATTTCTCTGGTTTGTGATGTTCGAGAAGAGTGGTTCGCGGCCCTCCACCAGGAATGGCTTTTCCATGACCGGTGTGTTTGGTCATGGCATCTTCATCGGCCGATTTGATGAATGGAATGATGAGCGATTGAACGGCATTGAGTAACTAGGATAATTGAGTATGTTAGATGATGTGTACTGTATGGTTACTGTGGTTACTTTTGATTGCGATGATTTGAAGTGATATGGAGATGATGGAAGGGGATGAAAGACATGGCTGGCTGGATTAAGGTTTTTGATATTGAGATGAGGTATACGGTATGTGTAGGAAGTGTGTAGCTAGGATGTGTAGGTAGCTAGGTATGTGTATAAGATTGAAGAGGTAATGATAATGATACTGATAATGATAACTCACTAACTTGGAATGGATGAATGAATGGCATGCCTGCATGGACTTTTCTCACCATCTTCTACCTCATCGGCACGGTTCAATGGGTTTGGAGCGTCTGGCCCAGTTGAAAGCGTGTGATCCCGGAGTGGTAAAGCGGTTTTTGATACATTTGAAGACATTGTGAGGGAGGAATTGAGGATGGAGAGGTGACAACGAGAGTAACGATTTCGTAGTGATTAGGGAGAAGAGTATCAATAGAGAAGAATATCAATAGAAGATGTCAATAGAGCAAGAGAACTAAGAGCTTTTCCAGAAGAGAATTCGAATTACTAATAAGTGATGAGTACCTAGTAGGTAATTGACTACCAGTTATGTGCATATATGTATATATGTATATATGTGTATATGTACTTTCGTATATACATATATGTATATATATAAATGCGTATATATATATGTGTGTGTGTGAATACCGGTACCGGCAGCATAGAATTATAACCTCACTCACGCAGTCGATGATGAATGGATTAATATTATATAAAAACCGTAATCCTCGAATATTACTGGCGATGACTAACTCATTGTATTAGTAACAGATGAAAATATATTCCATTTCCATGACGCAAAGATTTCACCATCATCAGTCATTTGGGATTGTCAACAGCCATTAAACTTATTATACCTAGTAGCTGGTAGCCATACCGGTACCTCGACCATAGCAAAACCAAAGAGCGAGAAAACGGCAGAATATCGGACCAAGGGAAACAGCGGTGATTTATACCTGGGCTGGTTACCTATCACGTGCCTATGTATATATCATTGTGTATGGAGGGAGTGAAGTATGAGTGAAGTTTGACTGAAGATGAAGTGAAGTTTGAGTGAAGATAAAGATCAAGCGAGTGAAGGTAGAAATGGAAACTTAAAAAAAAGAGATGAAAGAATGAAGAAAAAAAAGATTAAAAAAAAAAAAGGCTGAAGATCTCACCGCTTTGATAAACGCTGGATTTTTCTTCTTATTTACCTTCCTAGCTATGTGACAACAAGGCACGACAAGGCTCACAGCCCACTTCGTCCTTCACTGGTGCATTCCCTCGTTATCCATCACTCGATCGACTCCATTAAAAGGTCCATTCACAGGATTTCGCTCCATTCACTCCATTCATTCATCATTATGCCAAGAAAGTTCAGCTACGAGACAAGGTTGTGCCACAATACCCAGCGAGCCAGTACTTCATAGGTAACAAGTACAAAAATAAACCGCTAGCGCCCGCAATACACATTTCCAAACTTTTGATTCGAATTCTTCAATTACATCAACTTCTCGGTCTGCCTTCTACTTCCGCCTCCATCCTCCTCCCATTATCCCTTGATTCAAAGGAAAAAGGAGAAACGAGAATTTCCATCTTCTTTCTACATTATACTCTCATTCTTTCACTCCTTCATTTCTACATTACATTCAATTCTATTCGACTCAATTCAGGTCCACTCAATTCGATTCGATTGACCTCAATCCCCTGTAAAAAACCACACATCCCCTCCAAAATGCCAAAAGAAAATAAGCATGCCAGAGGTAGAAGAGACACTTTGAAAAGAAAGAGGGAAGAAAATACCGATAGGGAAGAAGATCATGATAATGATTCTCAAGATCTGAAAAAGCGAAGATCTTCCCAAATTGAAGACGAGGTTTCTTTCACAGGTCTGGATAACGACAAAAGTCTATCGTCATTCCCAGCTGCCACAGGCACAAATGCAATTGAAGTTGCGGACCGACCTTATTATGGATTACTTGAGGACGAAGAACAAGAATACTTTCGAAGAGCAGACGAATTACTCGAATTGAACGATTTCCCCTCCGATGAAGAACGAAGTCTCTTTCTCGCAAATGTATATCGGGAAGCAAAAGGAAAGGAATTGAAGATTGCCTGTAGTCAATCATGTTCGAGATTAATAGAAAGATTGATTTTGTTGAGTACACCTCAGCAGAAAAAGAAATTGTTCTCTCAATTTGCCGGAAATTTTCCTCATTTGGTATCACATCGTTTCGCAAGTCATTGTTGTGAAACGTTATTCATTCAATCGGCTTCAATTGTTACCGAAGAACTTACGGGAGAAGAAAAGAAGGATGAGAAGAAAGTGGCAGAGGTAAAGGCAGATGCAGAGGATGGAGAGGAGGCAAAAGAAGATGAGATTACTGAGTCGATGGAAAGTTTGTTTCTAGCTACGTTGGACGAACTCGAAGGACAATTATCCTCTCTTCTCACCGATCGATTCGCCTCCCATACACTTCGAGTTTTACTCATCATCCTTTCCGGGCGACCTTTGGAGAAATCTTCGACAAAATCATTACTACAAAGCAAGAAGAAGGAAAAGGTTGGTATAAATGGATTGGATACCGCCCCCACAGAGTTTTCTCTCAATAAGCGTACTGTGCCAGAATCTTTCTTGTGGGCAATTGAGAAGATTATTTCGGATACCATTGCTTCTATGGACAGAGCTTTCATCCAGGTTTTGGTTGGACATCCCACTGGAAATCCTTGTTTACAATTGTTACTCGAATTAGAGCTCACAAATCCCAGCTCCAAAAAGGGTGGTAATTCCGAACAAAAGACTCTCATTTCGACACTTTTACCGGATGACATTACTGTAGAAGGGAGTCAATCTGCCATCTTCGTCAATGGTATTGTCTACGATCAAATTGGATCGAGAGTTTTGGAAACAATCATGACACATAGTCCAGGAAAGTTATTTAAACAAATTTATCGAGCAATCTTCAAGGATCGAATCGCAGGATTGGCACGAAACGAGATCGCATCTTACGTTGTCATTCGAGTTTTGAATCGTCTCAGCAAAGAAGATCTCGAGGAAGCGATTACCGAAATTTCTCCTCAAATCGAAGGTTTGGTCGGTAGGCAACGTACAAACATTATCAAGGTCTTATTGGAACGTTGTCAAGTGCGACGGGCAAGTACTGAAGCTCTCACAAAAAGTATTGCTGATGCATATGGATCTGATAAAAATGAGTTGATATTGAAGATGGCCGACATTTCTCTCGAAACTCTTACATTGGCTACAGCACCACCTCCAGCAGCTGCTGACGATGATAAACCTGCCCCGGTTCCTGTCTTGCCAAAACCTAGCCCATCTCAACTTCACGGATCATTACTTGCTCAGGCTATGCTTAAGATTCCTGGACCACCTGCGCAACTCATTCAGAATTCTTTGTTGGCTCTTCCCACCTCTACGATTCTCGCACTCTCTTTATACCCAACCACAACTCATATTATTCAAGCATCATTGCTTCCATCTCCACCCAATACCCCTTCAAATCTTTTATTCCGTCGCAAGCTCATCAATTCTATTATATCACCTTCAGCCGGAGCTACTCCAACACCTCAACCTCCAATCATTACATTATCCTTGTCGTCTGCTGGAACACACATCTTGGATTCCCTTTTACATACCACGACCACTCCAACTTCTACCTCATCAGCTTCCCTATTTTCTCTCTGCGAACGTATCGCCATGTCCCTCATGCCTTACGAGCCTTTACTTAGAGATAGCTGGACTGGAAGAATTGTTTGGAGAAATTGGTCTATGGATTTATTCAAGAGAAGAAGAGCGGATTGGGTAAAGAGAGTGAAGAGTGGTGATACACAAGGAAAATCGAATATTCAAAGTCAGGTGGTACTGAAGAGTCAAGATGGTAATGCAAATGCTGTTGTTGGAAAGGAAATTCTTGGAGATGGGATTGGAAAGCCACATGGAAAGGGTAAAGGTGGTGAGAAGGAATTTGGAGGAGAGAGACAAAAGAGTGCTATCGAGTTGGCAAGAGAAAAGTTCGCTGCTCAGAAACTTGCGAGTGGAAAGATAAAGACTATGCCACCAAAGGGATTCAGAGCAACTGGTGCAAACGCTATTTGAGGAGGTAGAATTGTAATTCGGGGAGGGGGGAATTGGATCAAACGAACATGGAATCTTGAACGAGTCTTCACGATAATGACATGATGGAATTGGATGAATGGATCAAAATACTCATGACACAACCCGCTTTTCTGGAAAACGAACAGACGAGCAAAAAGGTATTAGCCAATGACAATCGGGATGGATGAGAACCGGATATCAAAAGTCAAGGCAAAATAACGAACGAGAAACAGGCACACGAAGGAACAAAAAAAGGGTGTATGATATGAGAATGCAAAAGACCATGAATGTGATAGCTGAGAGCGATGAGAAAGGGTTTTTACTTTACTTTACTTTCTTTTTTCGTTTGTTTGTCTGCCTACTCTGGTCCGCAATAAGATGTTTCTTAACTGTTTGAATGGCTTTGAAATAATGATTTTCATTGTTGGTTATTTCTCTTTTTTTGATTGATCAAACATATTAGCGTGCATAGCATGGGGCAATGGGGATAGGGGTCGATGAATGGATGGATGGATGATGAGAAGAGGGGGGGATGATGAGATTAGATTAGTGGGGGAGGAAATGATAATTCGGATTCGATAGCAGAGGATTCAATTTTTTGATCTTTGTTTTGGTGATTGAAGTGTGATGTTATGTTTTTTTTGATATTTTTGATACTGGATTGGCGAGTGAGCGTACTAAACATTAAGGTAGAGTGGGGGGTCCATTGGGCGATGTGTAGGGTATAGGTATGGGTACGTGTGCGTCCAATTCATTAGTCGCATTTGAACTTTAATTTTGAGTCTGGTGTCATGAATACATTTTGGGGGTGAGGAGGAAGGAGGACAAGGGAAGATGATAGAGAAGATGAGGTGAGGTGATTGGTAGATGGATGGATGGATTGACTGAGGTTTGCTTGACTGGCTGGTTATTAAGAGATTTTTGTGTTTTGTTTGGGGGGGCGGTTGGTGGGATGAGGTGGATTGGGGAGTTTTAGGGGTTGATTAGGGGGTTAATTGGAGAGGGTTAATTGGAGAGAGTGAAAGGGATGGAATGGATAGGATTGAGCGAGATAGATGGACTATTTAAGGAGGGCGATGGCAATTGCGAATGTGTATGTGTATGTGTATGTGTATGTGTATGTGTATGTGTATGTGTATGTGTATGTGTATGTGTATGTGTATGTGTATGTGTATGTGTATGTGATGGTATTGTATTAGGTACTAGTTTGGCTTCGGATATTGGGAGGTTTGGTTGGGTGGATTAGAGTGGGTTTGAGGGGCCGGGTGGATGGCGGTGGGAGGATGGTGGTAGAGAATTTGGTGTGATGGATGGATGGGGGGGTGGGTGTGATGGATGGGTAGATAGGTGAATAGATATGAGGATAGAGTGAGGATTGGGATGGGGATGAGGATGGGTATGAGTATGAAGGGGGTTGGAGGGAATAATAGATTTTAATCTGGATTTGTATCTGGATTTGTATCTGGATTTGTATCTGGATTTGTATCTGGATTTGTATCTGGATTTGTATCTGGATTTGTATCTAGGTTTGGATCTGGATTTGGGAGGATGAAATGAGATGAGAGTTTTGGAGAGCGCTGAAGTGTGTTTATGAGGGAATGGTTGGAATGCTCAGAGGAAATCGGCGGCATATATTTTTTTGGTGTGTCGTTAAATATATGGTTTGTTTTGAGATAGTGAGGAGATTGGTGAAGGGAGGGAAATAAGATGGGATTGAGATGGGGGGGGCAAGATGAGTATGTTCTAAAGCTGGTGTTGAGGTGCGTGGTTGTAATCGGTAATTTGATTTATTGGGAAGATGGTGATTTTGAGAATCAAATTACTATCTGCGGAATTCAAGTCGTGTGAATCTTTGCTATGTTTTGATCTGGAGGATTGGGTGGGGGTGTGATGATGGAAGGTTTTTGTAGGTTTGAGTTTAGGTCTGATGGATTCATTCTACCTCCATCAAGCATAGCGGATACCTTCCAAAAAATCACCCTTTCTAATTTATCGACACCAGATGAAATGAGCGAAACCCACTTCCCCATCTCACCACTTCCATCCAACTCACCCCGCCACTCACGCACTCTCCAAGCTGCTACGCATTGCACACACCAATTCCATCATCCTCTTTATAAGCACCACCCGATCTCTTTCTTTCACGGCCCACATCTGCTCCTCCGTCAAAAACCTCACATCCATATATTTCGAAGGTTCCACGTCCGGTACACTCAACCAAAATGATCTGCTTCTCTAGTCTCCATATGTTTCAACTGGACAAGGAAATCCCGTTGAGACTTCTTCTGTTTTGCCATTTTGATTCGATCTTCTTCTGCTCTCATTTTGGCTTTCTGGATCTCTTTTCTCCCTTGTCTTTTGTGATATTCGGCTTGAATGTGTGCTTCACGTTCATGTTCCCGCAACATGTATCTAAATACTGCGTACATGGCGATGAAGATTGTGAAAGCCAATATAAACATGACCATTATTGCGCATCTCAATCGGCTTCCGCCGAAAATAAAGGAGATGATCATATCCATATTTAACTTGATTGCTATTAGATCAACAATTTTCCTATGTTGTTCTTTCAACTGATATAAATAATGTGAGTGATGACTGAGGTGAATGTATCTATCATAAATGAAGAAAACTTTTATGAATTGGATTTTATTTCCAATTTATATTCTTTGTGGGATTTAAACTCTCGTGCTATTTTTTAGTCTATGGTTGGTCAGAATTGTTCATGCCACATCTAGCTTACGTATAGACGGATTGTCACCAGCTGATAAGTTTTTATTCAGAGCTTGTGACTCGAAATCCAATTAGTTATTGGCTGATAGTTCATTGTCCAGTCGGAGTTCAAGAAATAAGTCGAAAAATCAAGGGGGAACTGTTCGTACGGAAAAAACGTGGACCGGAATTGATTACTGGCGAAACCCTTTGATAGATTAATTGTTCAAGTTTAATTTAGAGAATTAAGGATTCAAATGATATGATAACTGAACAATGTCTCAAGATTTGTTTTAATGCTATTAATTCTTACAAAGTTATTTGTAATTGATTTATGATAGAATTTATTAGAGTGATCAACTTTGGCTTCTTTTCCTCCTATATATAGAGGGATTTAACGAGACTGAGTTCGCTTAGTACATCAATTAGTGCCCATCTAGCTCGAAGCTAGGCATTTAATCACATATTCTCAGGCTTGGGAAAGAGTTAATTTAAATTTCATGATATGATATTTTTTCTAGAAACGCTGCGCTCATGTGCCAATGATATTGAAGGTGGCTACATTTCCCATCTTACAAGGATATACAAACCCTTAACAACACCCAGAACTTCAGCGATGGATAATTTTGCCCGCTCTAGCGCCCCTATATCATTATTAGCTAAATCCATCCATCCATGGTATCGATGATTTTCTCAGTACCGTTGCGCTATCGAAGATGCCTGGGTTCCCCAAGAAACTAGTGCATAGATTCATTGCTTTTCCTTCACTCTGGTGTAATGATACCTCGCCATGTGATGCGTGTTTCTTTTCCATCCATATCTATGGCTATCATTTCCAGGCTTTCCTTATCACTTGATTCCTTGGTGATAGCAGGGTTCTTGACTTCTCCCATCTGTAGATTTTCCCTGTCGCTCAATTCCTTGGTAGGCGTGTGGTTATTCTCTACCATCTCTACTATTTCTTGAGATCCACTACTAGGCTCTTTCCCCGTCGTCTCGATTCTGTCTGGGTTTGATACCTCAATCACGGGGACTGGAGGATTGAAATTGATGAAGTCCTGAATATGTGTAATTCCATGGACATCATTCACGGTAATGATGATTGGTTCGTGTTCCCGATAGTTGATGACTCCTATTTCGTATTCCTCCTCGGTGATCTCTCTCATCACTGGTCCTGGTTCGGTAAAAAACTTCATTTCGAGCGTTAATTTCGGTGTTGAGTTTAGTTTCTTCATCGACTTTGATTTGTGCATCTTTTTGAGCCTGGCGCTGGATAGATCTTTGACGTCGCTTGCGAAAACAGTTTTTAAAGAAGGGTACGATACAGAGACAGCCCATTTTGATAACTTGGATGTGATGTTATGGGAAGATAAATCGTTGGATGTGGTTTGGAAATGATGTTTGGGCGATGTGATGTAAATCTTTTTAATCTTTTAAGATAGAATCTCATGAGAATCTGAAGGGGTTGTCTAAATGACCCCATTTATATGGGCGTTTGAATGAGGGTGAGATACATTGCTTGGTTTGGCACACGTTTAGACTTAGTGGTTAAACTTTGACCGTACTAGAGAGAGCTAGCGACGTACCGGATCTTGACAATCTCACCCTCGAATTTACGGTTCCGTATCTTTAGAATCATGTGATCATGAATCAATGCCAAATTCTGTATGGGCTTGACATATTTTCCGACAGGAGCTGGTCCAGTAGTAAAGCTAGAGTTATCTGTATCTTCTCATTCTTTTTTTTTGATCATCGCACCGGCATGGAATTATTTTGATTCAATTGTTCAATAGTGATTGGATACTTCATATCCTCAAGATTACTTGTTCATGAAATCCACTATAGTAGGAAGTATCTAGATCAAAATATTTCATTTACGCAAAAGAGACTGACTACCGTATATTTCTCCACCGTGGTATACTATGAGCATAGGACAATGATATCTCAGTATGAGTAATTCAAACAAATCCCATAATTCCATCTCACGCTAGACTACTAATTTTTAGAATCGTCAGGCCTCTAAAACCATCAAGCCCATGAATAAACCAAAACTCAATCTCAGTGGTATAATTTGAGCATTTTTAGTGCTCACGAAAGGTGGTTCAACCTGCGGTATGAAAGATTAGCGAGAACCCATACATACCTAGATATCAGGAGACAAGTACAACCAAGTCACGAACTTTTTCTAAGCAATCCATGATCTTTCATTCAGGGAGTCCCATTAGTTATGAAAAGCAGAAGTTTTTTCTACAAACATGTTTATTCTCTGCTTCGTACTTATGATATGTCGACGACTTTCAGTGGCATCTTTTCTATCGTACAGCGTTCTTTAATCTGATTCACAATTATTTCTGTGGAATTTTAATTCTTAGGCTTAGTTGTAGCGAATAGAGCCCAAAACCATTAAATAACACTCTAAATCGGATTTTGCGATTTTATGATTGTGAGTGAGAGATTGTAATTCTGATATTATGAGGAGTTGGAATTTAAGATTTTTGAGTTCGATAGTCTTTTAGATGGCGAGGATATCATTATACTAATTTTGTAAGGGGAATCAATTCGAATTTGTGGCTAAGGTTGGGAGAGACTAGATAAGTAATTCTTTTTTGATAAGAATTTGAACAATGACATATTTGGGAGAAATTTAGGGCTGTGAGTGACAGACTAGACATTTAGTGTCGGGGCATGATGCGATAATCTTGAGTCCGGTTGGAATAGGAGAACTCGTTTAAATGAGGCTAAACCATTTAGGTCTACTGTCTCTCCGGCGTACCATTAGATTGCTCTAAAGTATTTTTGAGTACAGCTTTGGGGAGTGTTTTTTTGCTGGTTATAGAATAGAGTAATCTGAGCTGTAAACTGGACAATCTTGTTGGATCGAATCGTATTAATGTTGAATTTATGTATGGCTATAATTTGATTATCGAATAGCAAATCAAGAATTTACGTTCGGAAATTGAGACCCTATTGAACTGTTTTGAGGACGAATCATTTCTAATTCTCTGGCTAACTACATAAATTGTCACCGAGATTGAATACACTCCAACTCTCGAGCCTATAAGCGAATCCTCAGCTTTGAAATAGACATCGAGTATGGGAACCAGCAGACACTGCATATCTAGGTCAATTGATCAATTCTTTCTCCTATGAAATAAGATAAGGAATTACCCGAGTCAACCTGGGACAATGAAGGCTGGAGAATAAGATTTCAAGCACCATAAATGTTCGTTAGAATTTGAAAAGGGACAGAGCTTTGGATCTATTTAATTTTGTGATAAAGCTACCTACCACTTCTTATCACCACTTCTTTGGTGCCCCAACGACCGTCCTTGAAAATGTAGCACTGGCAATGATTGGAGATACAGTCTTGGCTTTCTCTTTTGCTATTATACCTGTCCTATCAGTGACAGGAGTAGCAGCAATGATGTTGTCAAATTCATCATCTTCTCCATTATCCGAATCCGCTTCGACTTCAGAATCTTCTTTCAATGGTACTGGCCTTGAGATCTTTTCTGGTGCGACCTTTGAACTGGAATTTTGTGGGTTGGCAAATGGTTTGGAGGCTAGGACTCTTCGTCGGAGTTCTGCCATTTCCTCTTCATCATCCTCATCATCTGAGATGGCAAAAGGATCCTTATCTTCAACCTTCTCCTCCTCCTCCTCCTCCTCATCGTCGTTGGGTATGGGTTTCTTTTTTGGTTGTTCTTTACCGAGATAAATTCCATCGACTTCGTCCTCACTGTCTTTTCCCTCTTCATCTTCATCATCTTCATCCTCATCCTCATCTTCCGAACTTTCAGGTAATCTATGATTCGTGTTTCCACTTTTCCAAATATCATCATCACCATCCGCGCCACCCTCTCTACTCTCTTGATATTCTCTCTCCAATTTCTCCATCCAGACTTCCTGTGCCTTCTTTATCTCTGCTTCGTCTTTGCATGCTGCATAACGCTTTAATAAACTCGAATTAATATCCAGGAATGATCTGCCGTAGTTGAATGGTTCTAATATTTGTTCTGCCCAATCCTCGAATCCACATATATAGAACGCAGCTCCCAAAGCCTCGACACAATTTAGCCTCCAAGGTTTGCCATAATTGACCGAGTTCGCGGCGACGAGATATGGTAATAGCCTCTCACATTTTCCACCTATCTTAGCCCAAGGAACTTCTGCTGTACGAGCCCATGAACATTCTACAACCGCCGCACCGTACTGTTGCATGATTTCACGATCTGCCGGAGATATTGTAGCTTTCGCATTTGGAGATATAATAACACCTTGATGTTTCTGACCAACGTGTAACTCTCGCATAAGATTAAGCTTCATAAGTTTCTTTCCGGAACATCGTTTTGGATCGCAGTGACCGAGATCCCAACATGCGGCTTTGAATGGAGGGCGAGAAGAGCGGGGTTGCGATTCATCGTCAGAGTTATTGCGAGGGCCTCGGGTTCGTGGAGGATTACTATATTTCTTGCCTCGAGAAGAGAAGTTATCTTTCTTGTGTCGAACCATGATGTGAATATGCAGAGGAACGTTAATATGTGGCGATTTATTTACAAAAGAGAAATTCAATGTATGATGTGATATAAAAATCGAGGTGGGGAGCCAAGAAATGTTCCAGCCTTGCGAATAGTGATGACTAAGCACTCTCTCATCATTCCAAAGTCCAATCGTGTCCACCCCACTGAGCTCATTACAACTCTCTCTATCGCGCCGCATCAGCTCATCGACGAATTCTTACAACCAACACTCTTTTTACAGTCCATAACCATTCCGCTTGGTAATATAGGAGAACATACCTCCAAATGGAGGCAGCTTCCGCAAGAATGGCGGCACGAGACAGGTTCTCTATGATGGGAGATCCGGGACCCTCTCCTCTCCAACGATATATTCAGCAAGCTTGTTCCCCTGAAAATTACGAGCCAAATCTTGCTATGAACCTCGAAATCTCCGACCTTATAAATTCGAAAAAGGGAAATGCGCCACGGGAAGCAGCTCTTGCAATTGTCAATTATATCAATCATCGCAACCCAAATGTTGCGATATTAGCACTTGTCCTATTGGACATTTGTGTGAAGAATTGCGGCTATCCATTTCATTTGCAAATTAGCACAAAAGAGTTTCTGAATGAATTAGTAAGGAGGTTCCCGGAACGACCACCTATCAGACCGAGTAAAGTCCAGATGAAGATCTTGGAAGCTATCGAAGAATGGAGGGGAACGATATGTCAGACTTCGAGGTACAAGGAGGATTTAGGTTTCATAAGGGATATGCATAGGTTATTAAGTTACAAAGGATATGTATTTCCGGAAGTCAGGGTGGAGGATGCTGCGGTACTTAATCCAAGCGATGTAAGTTTAGTTATGGATCTGGGTACGGGTTACTTTAATAGGATACTGACACCATTATAGAATTTAAAATCCGCCGAAGAGATGGAGGAAGAAGAAAAGGCGGCACAATCTGCGAAATTGCAAGAACTAATTCGTCGTGGTGGTCCCGAGGATTTGCAAGAAGCCAACAGGTTAATGAAAATTATGGCTGGATACGATACCAGATCGAAAACGGATTACCGAGCCAAAGCAGCAGAAGAAGTCGGAAAAGTACAACAGAAAGCGAGATTACTGGAAGAACGTTTGGAAGAATTCAAGCCTGGAGACGTTATGACGGAGGGTGATGTCTACGAAGAACTTGCATCAGCTCTTCAAAGTGCTCACCCCAAAATACAGAAGATGTGCGAAGAGGAATCGGATGATCATGAAGCTGTCGCAAAGCTTCTTGAAATTAATGATAGTATCCATCGTACTGTGGAGCGGTATAAGTTGATGAAGAAGGGCGATGTGGATGCAGCTTCGAAGATTGCCAAGGGCACCCTTGGTACCAGTACAGGGGTTAGCAAGAATTCCGCAAATGAACTTTCCTTGATCGATTTTGATGGAGAGCCGGAGACCAATGGAAGTTCGTCTATGAATAATGCTCCGGCGAGCACGTCCCAACCAGGTGATTTAGAAAACGACTTATTGGGGCTGTCTATGGGAGATTCCTCATACAGTCAAGAGGGTGGCATCTCCCTTGGGTTTGGTAATAATACTAGTGAGTTGTCTATATATGATTAAAAATTTACCATCCTAACAAGCTCTAGATATTCCTGGTCCTGCTTTGATGTCTTCAACGACCGAAAATAGTACTGCCAGAGGAC